TGGATAAAATAAAAAAGGTAACTATTGATCTGAACTCCCACCTTCAAGCCACTACGGTCTTCTCGGTCATCTACGCAGTATGGTAAGCTGTTGGGAGGTCCACAGTTTTCATCTACGCTTTTCAAATCATTACATATTTGTAACAAGTCAAGACAGGATTAATCTGGTGCAAATTTCCCCAATGGTCTTCGAACTCTGCTGCCTCAAACTTCCAGTGAATCATCAAATTCGTTTCCGGTGTGTGATTTAACGGCATATTCAAAAAGTGCTCTGAAATCATCGAATATCTTTAAGTTCAAAATCGAAACTTTCGAATCAAGGTCAGTGACGCCAACGTAGTGAAATATGTTATTGGTTCTCGCTTTTTGCTTCGAATGTTCGTAATGCTGCTCCGATCATCATGTAGAAAGAAAATTAAACATCCAAAGTGCTTTGTAGGTCATCAACCTCATCAGTGAAATATGAAATGCCAAATAGTATTTTGTGCTCTTTTGCGTGTTTAGTGCTTTATTCGGCAAATTCCTCATGTTCAAAGAATGCAGTATTATCAAAAGGCATGAAATATGATAAGGAAGTCATATTAATTTCCAAATTGAGTACATTACGTTTAAAAAAATTGCATTTATAAGTTAATTGTATTATGATTTATAGATGGTAATATTTTGCTTTAATCATTTTAAGATCAATGTTAATAATTCAAAAATATTATGATTTATTTAAAATGTAGTTTTGCATTTCTGAATTGGAAAATAAAAATTATTGAATTTGATAAAAATTAGGCAAAGAATTTGAGGGTTTTACTTAGGGAAGGTTCTTAATGTGAATGAGATTTTTGTAGTATTGTTTAATTTTTTTTTTTTTTTTTGAATTTTTACTGTATTTTAAGAATGAAAGTATTGTTTTTGAGTTGTAGGAATTTCTTTAACCCATTAACCGCCAAAACTACAAGGAATGTTTCTTTTCTCATGAAATTAATAACAAATGTTAAATGAAGCATTTATAACATAAATTTACATTGAAAATTTAAAAAATGCTCTTACCTGTGGAAAACGCGAGTGTTGCGTTCGCGCAACGTCAGCGGAATAAGACTACTAGAGTGAGTAGAAAAGTTGTACTCGTGTGATGTTTCGTTTGAGTGGAGCGCAGGATTACATTTTAGCTGTATAACGCTTTATAAATCTACAAATCACTTACTTGTAATTAATTTAATATTAAAATATACATTGTATTTCTTTTACAAATACAGATTATTTCAATTGAAAGATTCAAGCATGAAAAGCTTGATTACAATCATGATGTAAAGCTACATTACATATCTTGCATCTATAAACAGTCTGGCTATGGTACTTTTTACAACAAAGTCTTTTGTTATCAACGGACTTTACGATAAAATTTCTACCATCTCCATGCAATGGTTTTTGAATGCTGAATTTACTAGGTCTTCCTGTTGCTGATCTATTTCTGGCTAATTCTACACTCTCAATAGGAGTTTGCAAAAGGAATAATGCATTCTCGTGTCTGAAATTTAAAAGAATATATTTCCAGTAGTAAAAAGTGGTGATATTTAGTAAGTTTAGTAATAATATAATTTATTATATAATTTATTAGTATTGTCAATTTGACTATTATCAAATGCAAATTCTGCTTCATATTTCTGTACTGCAAACGTGTTATCGATTCTCGTACAACAGGAACAGAAATGTCCTTATCAAAAGACCAATACATTTTTTCTTGAGGTAAGAAATAATATCCTGTAAGCAATAATATTCCAATAAATCTTCTCATATAGGCTTCAGATGCAATAAATGGAATTTTTTTTTTTTTTTTTTTTTTTTTTTTTTGCTAAGCGTATATATTTGTCTGTTCAACGAGAAGAGAGTAAATGTCTAAACCAAAACGAAAATCGAAAATCTGTGCACTAGTTTTACCTTGTATTTTGTCTTTATAATTTATCTTCTATCTCTTTCTTCATGTTCTTCCTGAGACATAACTAACAGTTCCTTTTTTATCCACTTCAAGATTTCAATCTTCTGCTTTTAAACTTTTCAGTATGACTATAACTGCTTTTAGAAGGCTGAAACTTACTTCTTACGTGAATTTCAACTTCCCCAGCAGTATCATTTAGTAAAATATCATTATCATTATTTGAAACATTGCCATTCCTTTCTTCTTCGTCGCTAGTTTCTGCAATTTCTGGGGGAACAACAACAATAACAGTTTCATTCTGGTCATTATTAACATTATCATCATCTGTTTCTTCATCAAAAAGTCTTTTAAGGGTTTCTTCTAATGTAAGATACCTCGTTCTAGGCATTTTTAAACAACCAGAACATGAATCATAACATCGAAAGGAATGAGTGAAAAAGGAGATTGACTACCCGTTTCCCGCTGACTTTGCGTCAGCGCAACACCTGTTTTACCTTGCTTCCCAACACAAATATAAACATCTGACTGATGTAATGTTCTAATAAACGGTGACATTGACTAAAAATAGATCACTCATAAAGACGGCGATTCTTTCGTTAAATATTTTCAGCAAAAATACCCGGTCGAAAACTTTGCTTAAATTTTGCGTAAAGTGTGAGATTAATTATTATAAACAAAATGATTGTTGAAGACAAATATTTTTTTACAGAAATAATCTTCATAATATTCCCTACACAAAATCATCTGCTGGTATAAAATATCTTAGGTAGTTATATTTATATACGCATTTATTTTGACCGTTGCGTCAACGCAACACCAGCGGCTAATGGGTTAATGTTTTTACGATAAATGTTGAAGGCTCTTACCTTTTGAAAAAGTACATTTTTTTTAATATAAGTATTTTTATTTTTTCATAAAATGGAGTGTGTTTTAATATTCATATGGAATGACAGCAGTTCGCAAAAGGCAAGTTGCCTCTACAGAAGGAACGGAGGCCTTTTCTACAGTAACTGCTAATTTGGCAAATCTTTTGGCCACTGGTGAAGAATATTAAACACCAGTCTGCTCAACTGATAAACCAATATGATGGAAATGCTAGTATTTAGATAAAGTTGTGGAGTCTTCAAGTTTTATAAAGAATAAGTAAATTTTAAATGTCTTAATAATAGTAAAAAATTTGAAATTGTGTTTATGAATGATGTTTTACAAAATTTTTATATTTTAAAATGCCTTCTCTAAAAAACATAATTAAATAACATGAAAATTGGCATCTTAATTTGTAATATAATAGAAATATTTTCATCAACAAAAATTTGAAAGAATTTTATTTGAACATTTAGTTTGTGAAAAAATTTGTACTTTTGCTGTGTGGAACTATCAAGAATTTTGCAGAATTTCATTGGACATTCTTACCTCAGAACTCTAAAATATGCTATTGTTTTAAAAGAGTACAGTGTCTAAAATTATTATTGAATTCAAAATTTTATGACATTCAGTGAAATGTCAAAATTGATTCAAAATATCGGTCAAAATTTTATAACAATAATTTTTTGTTTAAAAGTTAATATGTTTGTAATTTTAAAATTATATATTTCACATTTTGCTGCTCTAATGCTAGTCCTTCCACCCTGCTCACCCAACTTTTTTTTGAAGGGGGGGATATGTAAGATATAACAAAATATGATAGCTGTTTCAAAAAAATAATTGACGACATCAAAATGAACATTCTACATTTGGTAATCTGCCCCTAAATTCATCTCTTCTCACAGGTTCCAGACTTTTCTATCTTATGTAACGTTTTAATGCAGATGCCTCTCGTCCAATCAAATTAATTCTAAACCAAAACTGTAAAACTGAAACTTTCCCACTCCCAGCCTTCTTCCTATGAAAGTACTATAACCTTCCCCTTTTCCGCGTTAGCTGTCCCGCTTGTAAGAAGCTTTTAAACCATGCTGCTGCTTACTTGCTTAAGATGACGTCATACTTCAAAATGGGAGTTATTCTATTCAAATATTATTAAGAAATATCTTGTCTGAAAAAGGATTATTTGATATGCATGAAAAAAATAAAGATTGTGATTTTTCAAGATATGTTGTGCTAAATTGCGTCATCATGCTTTCCACTCTGCCACCTTCAAACCACAGTTTCATTACAATAATATGGCGCAGCCGATTTTCGACCCTACAGGCGTGGAACTTCAGTGCAGTTTATTTCAACTAATCTCACATCGTTCAACGAATGGATAAAATAAAAAAGGTAACTATTGATCTGAACTCCCACCTTCAAGCCACTACGGTCTTCTCGGTCATCTACGCAGTATCGTAAGCTGTTGGGAGGTCCACAGTTTTCATCTACGCTTTTCAAATCATTATATATACATATCTATATATATGCAGCTTAAGTGTCTGTTTGTCGCCGATAGTTTATTGGTTGCTTGCGTAACTGTACTAGCCAATGGTGTGAAGTTGCCACGGCACAGGTTTGCAGTTTCAATTGAGATGTAGACAATTTCCTGTAAAACTTGCCTTTGCTATGACCATCAATAAATCTCAGGGCCAAACGCTTAAGCGTGTTGGCATTTTTTTTTCTTTTTTTTACCTGAGCCTGCATTTGGACACGGTCAACTTTATGTTTTTTGTTCAAGAGTTCGTGAAAGAACGGACATAAAATTAAAAGTAATGGATGATCCTCTGCAACAAGAGCTTAAAAATGATGGAAAGATCTACACAAGAAATGTTGTGTACAAAGAGATCTTTGAGATGTGAATTAACATTTCATTATTTAAATCACCTTTATTGATTGAGCTAGCGATGGGATCTTAAGAAATGTACCGCCTGTGGTTTCCTTCATTGCACTCTACTTAAAGCAATTAAGCAAGTAGAAGGAGAAAAACCTGTGGGGCAGTAAGCAAAGGGGCATCCTCGCCGCCTGCCCTGGGTAATTCAGTTTAAATTAGCAGATACCTTTGCACAAATCATTTTAATTACAATTTATTATATCTAAAACAGCGGTCATTTCGTATGACCGCCGGGCTTTCTAGTATATAAATATATGCACATAAACAGTATACTTACATTATTTTTCGATATTCGCAAGATACAGCTTTATGTGAGGACAACTCTTTCGTGGTCGGAGGACCACCTTTTAGTTTCTTCATATTGACTGCTTTCGAAATTTTTCCCTGGAAATGAAATAAAATATCATATAAAGGTTTTCATTTAAATACTATATTAAAATGTTCATCTGAATGCATATGATATAAGGTTAAGTGAGATTTGTTTTTAATATTCACGGATTTGACGGAGACAATGAATAGATGTTTTCGGATTGCTGTGATTTCATTATGATAGCAAGAAATATAGCTTTTGCACGTTCACCCAGAAACGAAACATAAAAGAAGGGTAAGAAACAGGGTAGATTCATTGGCCCTACAATTTCAGATCTGATAAAACTGCCTGGAAGATTTGGAGACGAATTTTTTGATGAAGACGGACCATTTTTACTGATTTTGTGCCGTAAAATACCATAATAAAAGGTGTTTCTTATGTCAAGGTCTTGAACGAAAAATCATAGGATAAAATATCATGGCGAATTTAGCAGAAAGCGTTGCATTAGCATGGAAATGTTCCTTTCCAATGAGGCTTAAATTTTCATAATTCCCAGAAGGTATAATCTTAAGGAAGTTTTAGGCTAGAAAATGGGAAAAAAATCCGTTAAATTAATAAAATCACCTAACAAAATTCAGTCCAGGATATTATTCCTTGCTGTTCCTTATATATCTGTATCGGACAAAGTTAATACGAGTTTCAATAAATACTAAATTGAATTTACTATTAAGATGACTTGTGTTTTAAAGCTTGAAATAAAAATGATACTAATATACATATTTAAAAGGGTCATAAAGTGTTGCAGCATTATACGAATGCGCTTATAACATTACATAAACTGCATACACATATGGCATAGAATTTAAAACAATGCTAAAATATATCAATTATTCATTTGTTATTACTTAATTTAAATTATTTCAGTTTATTTCTTTTTCATCTCTTACTATTGCCGGGATATTCTGTACATGTTCTATGCTTCAGAACTGAAAATATTGCTATTGTTGCTATTTCACATGAGACAGAAGCAAAGAAAACAAGGACCAAATTTTGTTGCCTGAACAAAATTAAGTTTTTAAAAATAAAGAAAATTCGAGTACCGTTATGTTTTTCTCTGTCTGCGAATGGCAGCAATTATTAGCCCAAAAGGGCATTTTGCCCAAATTGGCTATTAATTTCGTTTTCGCAATTTTCCTTGTTTCACTATAAACAGTGAATTCGAACCTCGGGTCGAACTACTAGTGGTCAACGACTTTACCACTCTGCCGCTGGCGGGCTCATCTAAAGACGCGTGAGGCTAGAAGAAACATTTCAGAGAAACTTCTCCTACAAAGCTGGAGGGTTCTCAGCTGAAATACGTTTCGTTGGAACCAGTGTCCTGGCTAGCTACGCAGGACTTTTTGAATTTTGAAACTGAACTCAAAATATTTCACTTGAAGCACTAGCCGTTTGTGAACTTGTAGCATCTGTTAGACCTGATTAAATATTGTGCTTAACTCAGTTTAAAGAAAAATATTGTGCTCGCTCGCCATTAGGTCCAAGTAATTGGTAGCTTTGTAAAAAAAAAAAAAAAAAAAATTGTTTAATCCTCTTAAATAACGAGGTAGAATAAATTTCAAGTAATATCTATGCATGTTTGCTTGCAGAATTTAGTTACTTCAGTGGTGAATTTAAGTAACACCTAGGTCAACTTTTTTATTTGAGATTAGTTTAAGATCCAGATAGATGTTATACAGATAGTGTAGAAGCTAGGCCAGGACTTCTGCAGTAACCTATATGGTTGAGGTACTGCTAAAACTAGCTAATTGTTAGTTTATTAATATTTGGCATTTTTAATGAGCACCGCATATTCAATATCTACTCGAGAAATTCAAAAAATACTGCTGACTAATATTTTTATTTTCTGATGCAAATATTTCTCGCATAAATGATGCAAAATTATTCGAGACCCAAATCTATTTGAGAGAAATCTGAAGGAGATTCAGCAGTTTTCTTAAACAGCCTTCTCGTGAATGATAAAAAATAAAGAAAAGAGGATTTTGTCATTATCGCGCTTCATGTAAAGCCTGCAAGCTTAGTGAAACTGCATTCTGAGTAATAGATTCATTCCCTTTCAAAGGTAAGTAAGGAATATCTATGATATAGCGAATCAGATCACATTTATTAACCATAAAAAATTCCTCGGATTTAATCACGAACTTGAAATAAAAATTTTCGAAGATGGATACTAGTTTTGTGTCCGAAATGAAAAATATCCTTCAGCGTGAAAATAAATCATGTGTTGGAGTTTTAACCTAAGTTCGTCTGTCTTCAAACGAACTATTTGCGTTTTAAAGAAATATAATGAAAAATATGTATTACTTAGGAACAAAATATTGAGCAGAGCTTTTCCAGAGGAAAAAACACGGTCTGAACATTTTTCGAGTTTAAATGTGATGTTTAACTTCATTGTGTACAGTTATACAGTTTGGTTTTCTTTGGAAGCAGAAACTAGTTCCAAATCCTAAAGCTCCGTTTGGATGGTGGTATAAATGTCATAGAGGCAAAGTCATAAGGCATAAAATGCGGGAGTTCCGTTCACACATGTGAGACGGGATCTAAGGCGTAACCAATTAGAGAAGCTAAATTTGTGCATGCGTGGATGTGTCTAAAGCTTTTCCGCTCTGCCTTCTCGTTCAGGTTTTGCGCATTCGCTCTGATTGGCTGACTCCTATACCCATTCGACATAACGTTGGAAACTTGGAATTGTATGCGAGAACCCTTAAACCAGTTTTTGTGAGTCTGATTACCTTAGCAATGAGGCTCGGCTTAAAACACTAATGACATTTATACCGCAGTCTGAACGGAGCCGAAGAGACCTTAAGTGAATTATCGCTGTGTCTGAAACAACTACAGACTCATGCTTGCAGAAATCAATCTCCACTTGTGGCGATGCAACTACAGATACAGGCAGATTTAAATTAACACGTGGAATTACAACGGGCAGATTTAAATTAGCACATGGAATAGTAGTCAAAGAGCTCAGCAGCACGTGGCTCAGTGCACGTGGAATAGTAGTCATGATCCCAAAACCTCAGTTCACATACTCTCTAAATGAATTACATTTCTGGTGAGTAAATGGAAAGGAGAAGTTATAGAAAAGGCTGAAATTATAAATAACTTGTTAATGCAAAATAATAGTACCATTATACAATTAACATAATTATTTTAATAAACTCATTCATTTTTTTAAATTCCTTCTCTTGAATTTGGTATAATTATGAACATTATGGAGAAATAAATTATTAACATATGAAAGATGTGTTAGTGTTTTCTCTACACGTTCACAAGACTCACCAGAAGAGGAGGAATTCCAGTCCCGGTAAAACAGCAAGTGTCGCCAACACATTAGCTTATAAATTCTGTAGGCATATATTACACATCTTAACCGTGACGTCAAATGAAAGAAATTTTGACTTCAATCAAATAATTAGCAGTTAAAAGTAGGGTACAAGAGCAGAATTAAAACCGAAATTTGATAACAAATTCAAATTCGAATTTATATCTGTGACAGAAGTAATTTTTAAGCTTCAATTAAAATGTTCTTCTTATGACATACACATGATATGTTTAATTATTATTCTGAAGAAAACTGAGTTTCAATTTTAATGGCGGACTTTTCGATTTTATACAGAAAAGGTACATTCCACACACACACACACACACACACAAAAAAAAAAAAAAAAAAAAAAAAAAACTAAACACACACACACAAAAAAGGGGGGAACACACAAAAAAAGTAAGACTCACGCACACACCAAAAAAAAAAAAAAAAAAAAAGAGAGAGAGAGAGAGAGAGATTGTGCTATATTTCCCGTACTGGGCCAGATTGACGAAATTTAACTTGCTTTTTTTATCTCTCAAAAGCGCAGCTTAAAATATATATTTGACTTTTTATATAGCATTCTTCATTCTTGTATATAGCCTTCTTCTAGGTATTTTGACAAAAAAAAAAAAATGACTTTTCCTGAAACTACATACCAATTTGTTTTTCCACATTTCGATTCTACAATTCAAAGTATGCCAAATTGCCAAGTTTCGTGAAAATCGAGCGAGTAATTTTTAAAAAATTGAGTCTCGACATTTTTGCTCCTCAGTGTTAATTCAGTTTAGTTAATTATATACCTTTTTTTATTAAACTTATATGATTCCTTGTTTTCCATTTCCCAATTTAGATTTAAACCAAATAAAATCCGTAGATGTTCTCTGATTTATTTTTAAATTTGTATTTTTAGTAATTTTTATAAACTTTTCGAAAAACATTTTGAATTATAACCCTATAAAATTTTACCACCGCTTTAAAGTAGAGGTATATCTAAATATACCTGCAAAAATAAATTTTATTCAGAATTTGAGATAATATGAATTTTTATGATGGAGCATTCTGAAATTTGACGTTCTTGTTATACGCCATAATAACGCCAAATGGGGTTTAAACATTTTGTTAAAATCATCTGAAAGAATGAAAGATAACACCTTTTTTCCGTCGTACACTGTAATAGAATAGTGTAGAAAAAAAAAAAAAAGGTTACCATAAATTATGAATTTCGCTATGTGACTTATTTTTCATGTAAACTAAAAAAAGTGATCCAAGATAATTTCTTTAATTTCTCACCACATTTTACAAAATTTTATATTTAGGCATAATTTGAATCGTAAAATTAAAATGTGGAGAAAAATCGGTGTCATTTATGAAAAATCCGATTTTGTGTCAAAATCCTTACATTAGAAGAAGGCTATATATAATCGATGTTCGAGATGTGAAAAATGGTAATTAAATTTTGTCAATCGGCCAGAAAAACGCGAAATATAGAACTGCTCCTTTTTAGTCCAAAGGGACTTTGTCCCTGAAGGACTATTGTTTGCGTTTTGCGATTTTGCGTTGAATCACTATGTCCGTTTCACTTTTCAAACTTTTGCCACCAAATGTTAGAGTCCTGCATTATATTTGAAGAAATTAAATTATGAAAAATCTGCATAAATGCGTGTATATTTCTCGCATTGTGATAAAACAAAGGTACATAGAACCATCGAA